TTCTGATACGTACATGGTTTACTCAATCGCTTGCGAACACCCGGGTTTGTGCATCTAAGGTAGGGGTAAACCGACTAGTAGCCACAAGGTTGGCGAAGCTTGCAGCGACGGAGCTTCTGTGATGCGGATTGCGGCGAAAAATGGCAAACAGAGTTTGAGTCTCTTGGCCCGATTTAGTGCCCCCTGGATTCGTGTTCCAGTCAATCATACTGTCGTAATCTCAACCTCGTGTCTGGCTGGGACATCCGTCGGCTGCTGGTGATGCGAGCCGGCGAGGGGAGGGGTCAATCGAGATGGCCGTCCAGTTTGGCATTTGAACAGCGAATTGATTGTTCAACGAGCAAAAGCACTTAGGAGACCAGAAAAAATTGCGATGAAATGACAGAGTGGATTTAGAGGTAATAAAACGTGTACATATGGCGTCCAAAGACCTGTTTGTTGTCGTAGGCGACACGCGATGAAGTTGGTGGGATCGGATGAAGTGGTTTGGAGACGCGCCTCGCGATTCCGAGGGGCACTGTGTCCTCGCAATATTCCCACGAAACCACGTGATGTGTCATCTAGACCCACTTTGCGCATCGCCCACGGATCGACCTGCAGTTGCTGCCTGAGGTCTGACAGCGTCCGTTCTCCACACCTACCAAACTCGGCCTGAGATGGTGAGAAGAGGAGTAAAGCGGCGATTGCGACAGGGAACCTGGATGAAGGGGCCTCCCGCGGCTGTTTGGGAGAAGCTTCAAAGAGGTAAGCTGCCTTGGTTCTTGTTCTCATTGGAGTAAATCGCGCGTTTTTTCCCACAGAGAGACCATGGAAGATGACCGCCTCACGCAGCTCTGTAGTCACAATTGAAGTTGCCTCTTCAGTCATCTGTCAGTCTGTCAGGGTCGCGCCATCCTCAGTGTGCGGCTTAAGTTCAAGATGCATGCGAGACAGAATGCACCACCATTGGTTCCCGAGGTTGATCTCCCTTAGACTACGAGTACTCGGAAGGCTACCTTACACCGTCCGGCCATGTCTCGCAATCAGACATTTGACAGATACGCTATCATGGCCAATCGAGTCGGCTGCAGGCGGGCAGTGGGCCAGATTCGACGTGTCTCACGAATCCGTGTAATACTGAATGGACAGCCGTCATGGCACAACTGACCAGGCAGCTCATGAACACGATTTCCGTGCAGAAAAAAACATGTTGGATCGTATGCAGCAAGGCGCGCTCGCTCAGGTCTTCTCTGGTAGGGTATGGAACGTGTGATATTCATCAGGCACTTGGTTGAGACAGCAGGCGCAGGCCAGCGAGAGAATTCAGAACTTGGAAGCTCTACTGTAAGTCGTCTGCCCAAATGCAACGGAGCACTACGACACTGAGGAGGGCGCCGTCAATTGCCGCTAACCTACCTGCAGCCAGTGCAGGATGTCACAGCTCGCTTGATGAACGGCTAAACGCCGGGTATTATGCACATTGGAGTCTTTCGGAAGATCCACCCGCTGTCTTGTAGACGTCTTTGGCCACGATAATTCTTGATCCATGGCCTCCCCAAACTTGTTTACAACTAACTGAAAAGAACCGTATTCACTCAGAAAGTATTACAGGAGCTGTTTCCAGTCTTTTGGAGTATTCTGTCGGGGTTTGAGGCTTTGCAGAGGTGCGTGCAAGTCGAGCTCTTGCCCGGCGAAACGTTAAACCGCGCCAGGGAGCCACTCAAAACCCAGCGCCTTGACTTTCCTGTCTCGCGCCCCCCAACCACCTTTCGACCCATCGTTCTCTCGAGCTTAGCACACTACCAATTTCTCATCCTCGACCGCAAAGGATAGCCACCATCTCACATCCACTTTCAATCGTATAAGTCACAAGTATCAGGATATCATCCACGCGAATCGCCGACATCATCCGTCGCATTCGCCATGAATAAAAATTGGAATGACAGAGCCGACAAGGATCTGTTCTTTACCATCCTGTCTGTGAAGAACATTGGCGTCATCAGCGGTTCGGAATGGACGACCATCGGCAACCACATGCGCACACTGGGTTACGGCTTCACCAATGAAGGCTGTAGGTGAGTTGGCGCGCCTCTCTCTCATGTTTATCCTTCCGACCCTACGCGCAACTCCCTTCGTAACGCACAAAGACGTCGTCATTGCGATTCGTTATTTCTAGAGCATTGCGCGTACTTACGCGCCTTCACTTTTGCGCCGACCCTTCTCTTACCATCTGCATTTCCCCGCTCTGTATTCTCTCCTAGTCTTCTTAGTGCTCATTCTTCTCTGTTTCCCTTCTGGTCCCTCCAGAATGGACCTTAAAATCTATTATGAAAGACAAAAGACGAAGTCAAGGACTGCCTTCAAGGCCCCTTTTCGCACTTTTCGTCGGGCCTCAGATCTATCACGTCACCTCGTTTCGTAAAGTTCCACTGCAAGCAACTAGATGCTCTGTAGCTGGGACGACCTGACCATCGATGTTGCTTTACCATAGCCTTCTCATCTTCTCATCCTGGATCCGTCTCATTTGTTCCATTTGCATACAGCAACTAACGAAATGCAGACAACACTTTCAGGGCCTTCGTCGTGCCCAACACAAGAGTGAGACAAATGGAGGGAGTCCTGACAACCCTCGCAAGGTCGACCCAACAACAAATCCAATCACTCGTCGTCCAGGCCCGGGTCGTGGGAGGCCCAAGAAGCAACCTCAGCAAGCCGCGCAGATGGCCATCGCCGTCTTGGCTGAGCAAAATGGCGAAGCCAGCCAGCCTAGCCAACTTAGTCAAGTCGGACTCGATCAAGAAGTTCAAGCTGGTCAACCTCAACCTGTTATTCAGCCCGACCTTCAACCCGATATAACCGATCTTCAGTCAAGTCTTCATCAGCCCGATTTCCAGTCCAGTCCCCAGCCCGACCTTCAACACAATCACCAACCCGACCTTCAGCATGACCTTCAGCATGACCTCCAGCATGACCTTCAACACGACCCCCAGCCCGAGCACCAGCCCACTCATGAGGAGTCTATCCAAGATGACCACACCCACTTGGAAACATCCATCCTGCCTGACAGTCTCATGGCGGAGTCTCTGGACCTTCCCCTTAAAGACGACGCTCTCGACTTGTCTCTCAAAGACGACAACGATGACGAACAAGACGCCCCCGATGCCAAGAGAATCAAGCTCGACAACCCTGCTCATGACCATGACCATTCTCTCGTCGATGACGAAGCTGTGTTAGCTTTGGCCGCGCACAGCGAACCGCCTTCTGATGGCTACAACTCCGAGTATCCCACAGCCGGCTTGACCGGTTCAGACCCGCACACTTCCTTCTTTGGTCCTGAGACATGAGAGTAGTGGTCGACCCGCTTGAAAGCTTATGAGGCCAAGGCGGCGTCGGACGCAGCGAATACATTCGAATTTGGCGAACTTGTTGATTTAGACTAGGCGTCAAATCTATAAACCCGAGCCAGTCGATATTCCTCCTCCCCATCAGTTTTGTTAGGTCAAGGCGTTATGCATCAAAGCGGTAGCGGCATCAGGAGCGAGTTTATGAACACGACGAGGTGCTTGGAGTTTGGACTGATTGGGTTTTTCCATTGTCTGTGATCCTTTGACTTATAAGGATACATGCTTAACTAGCATTGACCGAGTTTTTCGATTGAGACTACTAGGTCTCGAGAACAATAAACTTCACAGAACTTGCCACCTCTTTCTACCTGCCATACATCCCATCGAGACGGTTCTATCTCGGACTCGAGAGCAAACGCTATTTCATCATTCTCTTTGACGAACGTCTACTACCTTCCAGAACAACTCAGGGTTCGATGATGCACTGAGACACTCCATGTCTGTCACCCTCCCTATGAGCTAAGCTACAATGAAGGTAGGGGCTTGCTACAGAGTTGAGATATCTAGAATGCTCTGGCCTTCTTAGTTTCCCGTGCTAGCTCGTTCACCAAGAGACTCCTATTCCCATGAGTTCTCCTTACCAGCTTGTTTGCCTACCAGTACAATGACTCTTGCCCTTTAGGTTCTGTTCACCAAGCAAGCAGATGTTCTCACTCTTTGAATGAAATTGAATAGTAACCAGACATTTGCCCTTTTCGTTCCATTTAGCACTGAGAAAGGGTGCTCTCGCCCTATGGACTTCCTTGAGCAGCAAGAAGGTTCTTGCCTTCCAAGTGATGTTTGCCAGGCAGGAAAGATGCACCTTCTCTTGGGGGTTGTTCGTCTGACATTCAGACAAAGTCTTTGAGGCAGCTCATAGATTAAAACGAGGTTATAATCAGACGATGAAATTGAGAATCTGCACTGCTCTAGGCCTTTTGGCAGGTAGTCAGAAGGCTCCCTTCCTTCTAGTTCTGTTGATGTAGGATGATGTTGCCTTTTGACTTTCTCGTCTCGCATTCAGACGACTGTTTACTTTGAGACGATTCAGACATTCAGACGAGTATCTGTTCAGACGACTGAGATTTGATACTACTCTCGGCTATGTAGGAAGTAGTCAGAAGGCTCTTGCATCCTGTTCGCTGAGGATGGTCCTGCACTTGAACTTCCTAAGCAACAAGCAAGAATGCTCCTCTTCTTTGATTCTCTCGTCTCACGTTCAGACGATTAAGTTCTTCGAGACGATTCATGCGTTCAGACGTGAACGCGTTCAGACGAGTGAGGTTTGATACTGCTCTATGCCGTGAAGTCAGATGGCTCTCGCCCTTTAAGTTCTATCTACTGAGGGTGCTCTCGCACTTTGGGTTCCTAGTGCCGGCGTGTGTACCAACCGGCGAGAGGACCCGGCCTCCTTGGGTCTCTATATAATTCCCTTCAGATTCGATCTCGAGAGCAATCTTTCTTTTCTTCTCCACAACTTCGACAGTTCTCCTCCTCAACCATCATACGATTATCGTGGTCTCTCTACCAGGACACAATTTCAGAATATCATCTCCAAGGGCTATTCAGTCTTGCTATCTTCAACATCAACATAAAACACCATCACCATCAACAACAATCAAGAGCAACATCGCGAACATGTCTGACAACAAGCAGGGAGGAAAGTGGTCCAACCCGGCCTTTCTCCTTAGCCTGGTTGTTGGCTTCTACGGCGAGCTGAAGAACGGCAGTCTCCCGCAGGAGGCAAAGGACCGTGTCGAGGCGAAGCTCCATCGCGATGGCTTTGGGGACACCACGTGGGATTCTGTCCGGTATGTATGCGACTTTTTGTGTTTATCTGTCTCGTTTCTGCTGTGGCACGTTTTTGCTGCCTGCCTCTCTTGTCGTGTTTTCTTTTCGTCTCTTTATTTTTGCAGTCAACCTGGAGCCCGTCTGTCACATTCGCTGCCTGAAAAAGGTGGCTGAAGATATCATTCTCATTCCCTTCTCTACACACTACGCACCCATCTTGCCAGCCCCAACATCTTTCCCTGACACAAACCTTTTTTTCCACATTCCATCTATTATTCCCCATCAACCAACCCAATACTACACGAACATAATCACCATGTCTGAGAAGTCTGCTCCCGGCGGCAAGTGGGCCAATCCGGCTCTCCTCGAGGCTCTGGCTATGGGATTCCACACCGTTGCCAAAGGCGAAGGCCTTACGAAGGAAGCCAAGGACGCCGTCATCCTGAAGATTCATGCATATGGCTTCACGGATATCACCTGGGAAGCTGTCCGGTGTGTATCTCCCTGCTCTCTATTCCACCTTGGCAGTTGCCTCCTCCCTCACCCTGCTCTGCCTCTATTTATTTATCACCTTGTCCTCTTGCGTCTCTTCCTTCTCTTCCATCTTCCATGTCTCATACTCAACCCAATTCACATCAAGCTTTACCAACTGTTCACCCTCTTACATATCATCATCGCATCATTTCTATCCATTTCTTCTACCGCACTTTGAAACATGTCTCGCTCAACGATCCGGTGGACGGCTGAGATCGACCAGCAGATCTTGGTCTCTATGGTCAAGACAATGGTTCCATCCACTGACCAGTACTCACTCATCATCGAAGAGCTTCATGCCCTCGGTCATACAATGACCGTTTCTGCCTTGAAGTGCGCCTTCCACATTTTCCCTTCGGCCTTTCCCACTTCTGCCTCTCCAGCACTCTCCTTCCCGCCACTTCCCACATATGCCCCCAGATCAAGCGATCTCTCAGTTTTTTCCTTCCTTAAACTCTCATCTTCACTCCTATTTTCACTCCAATCACCACCACTCGCCTATCTCATTACCACCTGCCTTACATTACCATTTTCATACCTCCCACTGCCAATCAAGATGGCTCCAGTCACCGTCTGGAACGATGAGGCCCGATCTGACCTTTTGGTTGCGCTTCTGTCGGTCATCAAGCCCTCTAAGGAGGACTGGGACCGCGTTCTTCCTATAGTCCATGCCAAGGGCTATGTCTACAACGCCAATGCTGTCACGTATTTCCTGCCTGCCTTGCCACGTTCATTTTCTCTCGTCTCCCCATTCTTTCTTTCGGAATTTATTATGCTTCCGCTTTCTCGAGATATTTTGGGTTTGCTCTAGATGCTAACAAGTCTCTCCAGGCAGCACATCCAGAAGCTCCAGCGCAAGGAGCTTAACGCCGGCGACGGCGGCGACGGTGAGGCATCTGCCTCCGCCACTCCCAAGAAGGCTGGCAAGAAGGCTGCTACCCCCAAGAAGGCCGGCACCCCCGCTACTCCCAGAAAGCGCAAGACTCCCGCCAAGTCCAAGGCCAAGGTCGAAGAGGCCGATGAGGATGATGAGGACGACGAGAAGGAGGCTCCTCCCCCCAAGAAGCCATGCACCCCTTCCTGCCCCAGGTAAGCCAAGTCGGAATTTATTGGGACCAAGTTCATCTCACTAATCATATCTACGACACAGCATGAAGGACGAATTCCACGAGGACACCAAGGACACCAAAACCACCGGCGCCAAGTTCGTCCCCATCAACGCGGAGATCTAGATGCATTGTTCGCCCCTCAATACTATCGATTCGATTGGATCAACATGGCATTTTCAGGATGGTCCACTGGCTCTTCTGGAGTATGATATGGGAGGCTTGAATGAATGATACTTGGGGGGTTGGCAGCATTGGATCTTGATTTGAAGATCATCGGAATTGGCACATAACCTGGGGGTTATCACCTCATTGCGCAATGCATTTCGAGACAGGTCATGAGATACCTGCGGATACGGAAAAGTTACACTGAAGAATTGAGAAGACGATTTGCTTTCTCAAACTGCTTGTCCTTGAAGCCTTGGCTGTCGTACACCTCGACTTTTCGAGGATCCTTCATAAATTCCGCGTGCCCACCGTCACCTCTTGCTCACCTTAGTTGCAATCGTTTGATGAATCATATTGCCTTCTCCTCACGGAAGCCGGAGATCTTTTCTCAATCTTTCCCGGAAGTTGGCAATCGCCGGGGTACCGAGTGCCTAAAAACACAGCCTCACCTAGCCGGCTAGTCAGGCGCAATGATTCTAAGTCAACCCGGAAACTGAGGGCAGTGATGCAAAAACGATAAAGACTATGACAAGTGGCTGGCTAGCTATCTCAGAACCACACCCCCGGAATGTTGAGCTCTTGGCTGAAGTAATGCGAAACAGGTTGAGAACGGGAGGACTCGTCACATTCTCATCGATGATCATGCCAACACTACGTGCGTTGAAGGAAGAAATTGGGCCCACGAGCTTGATTAGGTTCTTCAACAGCTGTAATGCACATACCCGAAGAGTCCGAGAACCATGTGTGCCTATTTCTTACATGAGCACTATGCTGAGTTTCTCGAAGCCGCAACAAATCGAACATCAGTAGCTGCAGCTGGCAATTTCTGGGCCAGGAAGGGTTAAAGTCTGAAATCCGAAGGTACTGCATCGCTGACCTGTGTGAGAGAAAGAGGATGAGACTTCGTCCAGTACTGAGCCTTTGACAACGAAGATGTGATGACGTTTCTGGGCGACAGGACAAAGAGGTGAAATGCCATCCCAACATAGTACGCAGATTTGAAAGCTTATGCAATTTGTTGAAGTTCGTTTTATCTGCATTTCAAATCTTTTTTGCCTAAATTGACGCTCAAGTCTCTCCAGACGCAAGCGAACCCAAGAAGTTTGGAGGAGGAACCTAGTTCCAACTGGATTGTCAACTGAGCTTTTTGTTTATTCCCCCCAACATCTCCCAGCTATCTCCTCCCCCGGATGCGCAGAAGACGGTTACTTCGAAACACCTCAGAGCTCCGAAAGGGCTGCAAAACACGGGTCATCGCAGGACAGAAAAGCAGTTCTCCCAACAACACGTCCGACACCGTCGATCCGATCAAGAGCACACAAGTCCCCCCGTCCCATTCCCCGCTCGTCGTCGAATTAAGCCCAAAGCCGTTTAAAACGGTGATGAGCGGGGGAGCTGTCTAAGACCCGCCCCGGGCCCCGCATACCCCCGGGCGGAGATCACTGTGGAGACTACGGCAGTCGGGCGCAACGGGCCGGGACCAAGGCTTGCGTACCGTACCGGCATTGACATGAGAGCGGTTGGTGTATGCACCTATCTACTACCTTACCCTGCATAAGAAGATCTGGCTCAATTGAATTGAATCTAGAGTAAAAGAGTTTCGTACTGCCAAGAGAAGGAACTAGTTCACCGATAACATCAGTGAACTTCACTAATTTGAACCCCGGTTGGATTTAGTTGAGTGGGTTTAGATCCAAGGGAGAGAAACCACGTCTCAACACATGGCAAGGTGTCAATCGATCAAGCAACTTGCCTTGTCTAGCAAGCTAGTTGACCGACTGTGAATACGAGAAACAAAACGCACAGCAAAGAACAGCACAGCACAGCAATATCGACTACACTCTCCTGCTTCGCTGGCTCTGCATACGCGCGCTGCACCCAAGGTGCCGACTACGACCTCACCGACATCGCAGACCATCCCTCTCAATCCCACCCCCAACTCTCCCGTCTCCCCCAGAGGAAACGTTCCCCTCTCGTTAAAATGCTTCCAGAAACGCAGAGTGAGACATTGGGATACCACGTCAACGTACTCCATACACTAGGTCCGCCGCTCTCGGAAAAAAGTCTCCTCCAGCCAGCTAAGCAAAAAAAAAAAAAAACACTTTACAGCCACTTCCAAGACATGGGAAATTCTGCCCCGTGCCAACGTGCCTAGCCCAGCCCCCCACGAAATACTTACCTACTCCTGCATCAACCAAGGCACAGAAAAAACCACGTGCTCGACAACGGCATCCTACGAGCACGAAAGACCACGAGGAAAAAGCAATAAGCAATTAAAGATCTCCTATCATCGTGGCACAAACCACCGGACGCAGAGAAGCCTCTCTCTCTGTCCATGCTATTTTGCCTCCTCCCCAACCGCCCGGCGAACAAAAGGTCCCTCCCCTCGTCGTATGTTGCACGAGGGCACATGACCGCGCACCATGCATCAGCTTCGCTTACAACGCTCACCGCCGCCGTTCACTGCTGCTCAGCGCTTGCTCGTCCAGCGAGGCGGTCCTCTCAGCTTCCATTCTATGTGTTCTCCGGGCTTGTGTTTTTGCCTCCATCGTGGATCTACAGGTCCACCGTCCACGAGATATTTTCTCGCCTCGAATAACCAGCCCTATTCTTCCCCCCCAGCCACCTCATTTTTTTTCGTTTGGTACCTTACCTTGCCGCCGGTAAGAAACTCAACAAACAAGGTACGTAACCGCAGCCGCTTCAGGGGAAGCTCTAGAATGATTCCGCCGAGACAAGCATACATAGCTTAGCAAATACGAGCAGGAAGAAAATCGAGTGAACCGGACTCTCATACCTGTGTAAGTCAAAGAAAGCTCCCTCAAGCTCCAACGCCACCAACAGCCGTCAGCCAAATGCTTACGTCGGGTCTCCATCACATCGATAGTAGACCGCGGGCACCCCGTCCCCAGTCTGTCCCCCCCCGGTCCGCATCCCGCCACACCTCTCCATCGTTACACCTCTTCAACCAACCCGTGCATCCCTTCCGCGTCGCCCCGCGCGTGCGAGTGCTAGCTAGCATAGCGTGCCCGTCATCTGCGGACGTTTGCTCATGGCTCGTGCCGGCCGTAAACGGCGGGAGGACGATGGCGGATGGGGGAGCCTGGGTGGACGGACGGTGGTGGACCAACGGGGCACCATGTCGAATCACAGATAGCGCCGTCCGAATCACACGCGCCTAGGCCGCATGCGGTCTGTAGGGCGGCACGGCGGTTGGGTCCAGGGGTCCAACAGCTTTTGTGTCTCTTCTCTTTGGAGAAAATGGGATTTCTAGCAGACTGACCCTCCCAGCGCACGGCCGGTCATGCCGGTTTACCCTTCATCTTTTTTGACGTGCTGCAATTGACTTCCAGATGTCAAGATGGAGCGCACGCCATCAGATCTTAGACTATTGTCGGTCACCGTGGCGGCGTGTGGGACGAGGTGAGTAAAGCGCGGGTGCGAACAGATGTGATGGGACAAGGATATTCTCGGCGGTGATGATCTCTGCAGATGTAAGTGCTGCAGTACAGACGTGATCGGATGGTCGACTGGGGAGATGCCGGGATTTCATTCATGTCTATGGCCCCCCTGCCCATTACCCAAAGAGTGTTGTTCGTGCTTGATAAGATGCTGCGAATCTGCCTCGTTTCGCGTTCTGGGGCTGTTGAAAGAGTCAGTTCACCTGGTTTCCCCGCCTGCCCAGAGGGATGACAGGACAGGGGTAAGCGAGCTCTTTCACGGCGCGGGTTCCGTGATGCCACGAGGTGGTGTGTTACTCATCTGCTGAGACATGTCAAATTCTCCAATGGAAACTCGAAAATGAGCTTCTCAACTTCTCTTGGTGATGGTCGAGCAGGCAACCCTCATCAATCTTGAGAGCAAAGACCCTATCCTCGGCCGCATCCACTCATCGTCACGGGACGCGGAACTCCCGAAAGACTCGAATTGGCGACCTGCGTAAAATACAAGTCGGGAAGGTGTCGTTGGCCTGCGATTTTGTGAGGTTTAATCCCGCATGGCCTCCCCTCAGTGGGGATATATATGAATGGAGGATTCGCATGTCAAAAAAGGCGTTTTGAGAGCCACTTATCGACGATTCTGTACCCGTCATGCCGTACGCGAGGGATAGCTGACTGCCAATAAGGACGTCAAAGTGGCACAGCAGCCTCTCATTCGCTGCACAGCACTTGGTGGTACCCCCGGCCTGTATGGAAAGCTGAGGATAGATTGCGGTTTGCGCGGCGTGGCTAAAACTTCCATCGCTATGGATCCTGCTGTGATCCCGATAAGCGCGGTGTCCAAGTGTTTGATGTCGTGAGATTCAAAAGCATCTGAGAATGACGTTTTCCCATGGTTGCCGTTGCCGCTGCCGCTAGGGTGACGGCTGCTCGCTTCAGGCCGCTCAAGTCGGTCATGCATTTGCACTTCTTGCGCCGGCGACCGCACGAGATGCAAACGCCGTGATTCTGCCACGACACTATTGGAAGAGTAGTGGAAGTCGATCGCAATAGTATTGAAATGTCATACGGCATAGACAGGCCGGCCAGCTCGGCTCGCCCTCGATGCCACTCGGCTGCTTCCTGGCGTGTGAGATCCTGACATTGATCTGAGCGATCGAATGTAAGATGGACCAGCAATGCGTGGGGCAACAGTTGCCAAGCATCCAGGGCCCCCAGCAACAACCTCGAAATCATTGTAATGTGGATGGTCAACGTGATCCGTCACGAAATGATATGTGATGAGAGCTTTGAGTCGGTCGACTCCGTCTGACAATATGGGAAGCTATTGCGGTATTTGATATAGACATCCTCCATCGGCTGTAAAATTAAGCACAAATATTAGCACGTTGGCCAGGCTGATTAGGCCTTTCGTGGCTCTACAAGCATGAATATCACAGTTGCATTGAGACTGTGAAGTAATCCAGCCGCACAATCCTAGCCTCAGCACAATTAAGTGACTGGATCCTATCAACAGGGCCAGGAACCACTCTGCCACTGTGCCGTGAGGCTCGGTCTCGTGTGATGGATGTCGATCATTGATTGTTAGTTGGTTCTGTCAGGGCTGGCCAGATAACGTCTGGCAGAACGATTCTCGTTCATCGAATGGTCCCTAGCCCGCTCTCGATGCTTTGATTGATGGCTACCGGAAGGATTGTTCATCCTCAGCCGGATGTAAAATAGCTAATACACCTGTGATCAAAGCGGAAACTCGACAGGGAGCGATAACGATCTAGACGGCTAGAGAGGCTACCTAGTTCGACGGCAAAGCAAACACACGACCCCTGCAGTGAAGCCAAGACGATGTACGACATGGCAGGGGTGGGCGAGCTCTGCCCATCAACCCACAACTCCGAAGCGGAGGAAAATTTCATCAAGGCTTGTTCAACTCAATCCGCTAGTCGAACTATGGTCTCAGCGAGGTGCAGTTAGGTTGCAAGTCAGGCTCGACTACTTAGTACTGCCCTAGCAGCTCGACAAGGTCGCCACGGTACATAGGAAACTTTCCGGAGTGGCGTACTGCGTAATATACAGATTCCAGGGGTCCCTCTCAGTGGAAAAACGTCGCCGTTTGATATTGATGTCTCTCAGCCCCCTCAACGTTGAATATCTTGCAAGGTTTGCTGGCGCCACGAGAAGCTGATTTGACAAGTCGGATCGGCCGCCCTATTTCACGCTTTCACCGGATGCATATGAAGTCTCTGACTTCAAGAGCAATATGGCTGCTCCATCGCATCTTCTCAGAGACTTTCGAGACCAATCGGCCTTTCGTATGATACCTAGAAGGTAACACGAGGGCAAACAAGATGTCAGACAGCACGCATGCCAAAATCGTCGAAAATCTGTCACGTAGGTGCCTAACAACCCGAATAACGAGCTCACCCAACAAGCAGCTAGCCGGCAAGATAGTTGAGGCACGGTCAAGATGGTGGTTGCGGCGGGGGAATTGACCACCCGTTCCGGGGTAGCATCGTGATGGCAAGGAGAAGAGTGGAGGGCACGTTACGTACCTGAAGCTTGTGCATCAGCTTGAAAAAATTGGTCTAAGCGACGGTCAATGAATGAGGCGGCCGTGAGTTGAACCATGCTCTCAACATGCAGCCATACCTTAATTCGTACTTCAGTCATGCACGGGGAAGCGGCCGGTGAGGTTGCATGCTGGACGAGTGTGAAGCTGATTAGCGGCCGATGAAGGTGCAATAGCAAGGCTGTTCCGTCTTCCCATGTCATTGGGCTGCCATCGGATGGTTTTTTCCAGGGGCATTGACGAGGAACTGATATCCGGGGTCCAAAAGGTAGGCCAGACCGGGATGGGTAACTTCAATGGGTGTGGCCAAGGAGCGAATTGATGTGGCAGGTGGACGAATATGTCGATATGTGCAGCAACGTTCGTTCCTTCGGCCCTGAGTGAGACATGTAACGAATGCCCCGACTGGCAGTGAAGCTTGGTGATGTAATAGAGTGCGTCTCATCGTAGCGGCGGGACATTGCGATGGACCTCATTGTTGGCCAATTCCCCACAATGGTAGAGACGTTGAACAGAGAGAGGCGAGCATTGATTGGGCACTCAGCAGGCAACGCCAATTGAAGTGCTTTGAGTTGGGTGCTGGGATTCGGAAGCTCTATCTGATACGGATCAGGTCGACTGGGCGTCTGTGTTGTGCATGGTGTTCGAGGTATGCAGGTAGCAGTGATCGTCTCGCAAGGACAGAGAACCAAAGGCGGGCAGATGCAGCAATGGTGCAGCCTCAATCCTTGAGAGGGCTGGCCTGTGTGGACGGACCGGGAGTCTTAGGCAGTACTCGGTAGAGACTAGAGCTGTGAATGAGAAGGTGGAGGGTTCGGAGTGAAGCATTGCACGTTGCCAGGCCGTTGAATTGCTCCATCAGTGTGCAGTGTGCAGACAGGGCGAGGCCGCGAGAGGGCGAGAGGGAACACAAAGTTCCGAGCTTCAAGCACAAGTAGTGGGGATTGGCGATGGATGGCGGCCGCTTGTGTGCCGGCCAGCGGGATGTGATTCCAGACCCGTACCGGCAGAGGCGATGGCGAATTCGCGATGGATGCAGAATAGTGGCGTTCGTTCGAGTCCAGCCCCTGGAACTAAGGAGCCGATCGAGTTCGTACGTTGCAATGGTAGGTATTGTAACGGGAGCGACGGGTTTGACGTTGTCGATGAGAAATGGTAATGTTCCTGAAAATGGAGGGAAGAGGTCGGATGGTGTGTCACTGGCCAAACAGGCACACAGCCAGATTGGGATATCATTGATGGAGTTGATGGAGTTGGTGGAGGGTGGATTGAGATCAAACGGGGAGAAATAAGTGAGGTACGTACTCCCAGAAGAACAAACAGAAATACAAACCAGATGGATAACTGAGGAATTCCGAATTGTGCACCAGTAAGGTACCTGACGGAGTACAGATGGAAGGAGCGGTGCACTGAGATAGTCCGTAGATACCTACCTAAGGTATTAGTTGACGGGAGGAAGGAAGGAAGTAACAAAGTAATAGTAGAGGAAGGTGGAGGTCCATGAGGTGAGGTTGGAAAGGTGGCACAGACGGGGAAACCGGCGAGAGGTAGCGGCTACCTCTAAAATTGCCGCCGCTCAGGGCGGAACAGAGACACCAAAAGTAAGTAGTGGATACTTCTGGGTGGATTCAAGTGGATCAGTCCAACGGGATGTTAAAAGCGACGAGCCAGTCAGACGCACGTCCATGGGCATCCCTGCAATGCATCTGCTGAACAGCAGGCACATGCGGCTCCGGATTGGCCCCATGCAAGTTCCTTAGGCGCCATCACCCTTTCCTCGGCGCGTAGACTGTTCAACCCCGGCTCCCTGTCCTCCTCCTTCCCCTCCCCTCAACCTATCCTCACTCTCGTCCCGTCCTCCCTCGATTCTCTCTCCCGGTCCACGCAAACGACCTTCAAACCAAGCCTCTCTCTCCTCCCCCAACCATGCTCTTTTCCTCACTTCCCGCCGCTCTGGCCATGTCCGTCTCTCTATGCTGCGCTGCCTTTCGACCCTTCGACAGGCTCTCAAGCCTGTTCAAGAGTCCGTCCTAGCAACTAGTCATCCATGGCCACCGAGGCGAATCAAGCCTGTCTGTACCAGGATTCACGACCATGACCACCGCCGAGAAGAGGGGAGTCATGCCACTGGTCCCCCGTCTTCAGATTTGGATACCTGCGCACTACATCTCCTTCTGCGTACATACCGCGCATCTGCCATTCCACAGCAGTCCTGTAAGGTACCTTTGGCGCCCCCAAAGAGACATACGCTGTCTTCACTGCCTCACTGTCAACCATTACTCGATACAGCAATGCAAAGTCAAATCATCAGGGGAAAGCGGAGCTGGATATCCAAAGCGAGACACGCTTGTTGGAGAACAGCCGCCGATGGGACGTCACTGCGAGTCAAAGACCAGACGATTCGGTTGGATTCTTCATCTCCTCCTTCATTGTTCTTTCTTTGTCTCGCTATGCGTGGTGGGCTGGGCACGATCTTGGAGACAAGAACCTAATGATGAGATGGCCCGGCCGTCACAATCACGAGACGGGGAATTCAAGCTGGGCTGAGAGGGAGCCAGTGCCGCCTCAGCCCAACTTGATAGGTTGATATTCCTGTCGCCCGCCCGCGCGCACATACGCACGCAGGTTAAGCAAGCATCGCAAGCAGCAAGTAGCGGCAGCGTGCCAGCAGCAGCAAGCAGGATCTCGCGAAAAAAGAAGAGACTGGCACTGGCTAGCACCGCGCGAGAAGAGGACCGGAGACCTAATTATGGCAAAATATTGATGTACTGCCCTGTTCAGACGCACTCTGCTTGCCTCGATACTTCGTCAAGTCGCCCAACCACGCCGCTCATGGCATTCGACCATCTCCACCATGCCATGACCCCCCCGTCGTCCTGCTGCATATTCCCCAATTCTGTCCCCCTCGGCACGCGGTGGCTTGCACCTTGCACACCTTGACTGGTCCCCTTCCACTGGCTTGACAGGGTCCCTCGACGACAAGCACCCCGGTCTACATAGCATGCAGCGTCTTGGCTCGTCCAGATGAGCCGGACCGTATCCGCTCCCAGATACCTCGACCGTTCACTGAACAGCTCTAATTTTATGGTCAAGATTGATCGTCCAGTGACAAGTCAGCTCCAAAACTTAGGCGCCATGCTCCATGTTGCTTGACTTTCTTCCCATTTGGCTCCATCACACCCCGTCCACACTGGCACACACCCCCTTCGAGCAGCAGCCTCTCTTATTTTCCATCGTCTTTTCGATTCCTTTTCTTTTCTTTTCCCTTTCCGTCGTCAGTCTGTAAGCAAGAAAACCCTCTCTCCCTGCTTGTGTGTCTCTGTAAAAATCGAGTTGCACACTTGACAGAATCTTCCTGCAAGACAAGCGCCGGCACACCCCCTCGACGAAGACTTATCCAGTGAGCTTTCTCTCTACGTCCAACAACGTCAACTTCAACAGAGACAACCTCATCGCTTCACACCCTTCCACCTGCGTCTATAGCGTCTTTGCCCCCCCTCCTCAACACGTCCCGACAGACTGTAACCGTCTTTAACACGCCGGCTCCCAGACTTTCTTCTCTTTCTTCTCCTGTCCTACCTTTATCCGGTAACTCACTGGCAACGAAGAAAAAAAAGGACCAACAGCCCCGCGCCGTGAAAGAGAGACATTAGAGTGCAACGGCACAACCAGCAACCGTAACACGACAGCAGGCAGACGATACCGCTACTCTAGCACGCCTACGAAGAGCTTTGCGAAAAGTCTCTGCAACCTGGAAACGTGGAAGGACAGCCGGCCCGGGAACGGACATTGAACAGTGCTTCATGTGATGGTTGGATTGGAAGAAGTGTAGCTTCCCGACTGCCTTTGGTTCGCCACGAAGCAGCCGGACGGTGCTGTGATCGTCTCGGATTGGTGAGTAGGCCTGTCTCACAGGAGTCACCCACCTGTTTCTCGGCTTGAGAGGGCTCAAAGGTTCTGGTCTGGCAGACACGGACCTTGCAGCCGTTGCCCTGCCTTGAAGTCGTCCTCCCCAAATGCAGCTTGCCGACTAACATCGCACCGGGTCCCAGATCGAAATCCGAAAAAGGATATAGTGCCATCATGTCCGCCTCCGCGAGAAACCGAACCGCTACCGTCAGCTCCGGGCAATCGTCACAAAGAGGTCGGAGCAATGAGATGCAGGATTTCAACATGTCGCAGCCCAACATCATGCGGTACTTCGAGCCATGCGCCGCCACGGCGTCCATGTTCTTGTATGCCCAGGGTTCTTCCATCGTATGCTGCCACCACGACACTCTCACAATAGAAAGAAGATTTTCAAGGCACTCGGACGAGGTGCAGTTGCTCGCAGTTGATACGCAAAGCGAGATTGGAGCCGGAAGGCTGGTAGTCAGTTACGATGCCGGGCAGACAGCCATTGTCTGGGATATTATGACGGGCGACGAAGTAGCCCGATTCGCTTCATACGAGCACTTGACAACTGCTGCGTGGATGCGCAATGGCAATGTTGCATTTGGTATGTTTATGTCCGAAAAATCTCACATAGTATACACTAACAGATGGCTTTAGGTAATACGCAGGGCAACATTATTCTATTCGAGCCCACAACATCAGAGCATATCTCTTCGAGAACGATTGACCAGATTGCCGTGACAGCGCTTGCACCAGCCGCAGACTGTAGGACATTTGCGATTGGGTAAGCTTAAAGAACTCCAACGGGCATCGCAAAACAAAGTTGCTAACTCTTCATAGATACCAAAATGGCTCGTTGTTGGTCGCAACTCTTCAGCCACGATTCACTATCCTCCACAACCTAGGCACATCAAGAGCACCTTCGCCTATCGTCACGCTCAACTGGCATGCTTCGTCGTCTCGTCAAAAATCGGACATGCTGGCATCACAGACCCATGATGGCGACCTCCGAGTTTGGAGTGTGTCCAAGTCGTACAGCAGCGATGACCCCGCCAAGGTTGTGAGGATTCTCAAGCGCACCGATAACTACCAGACCGGTCCCAACTGGATGGGCTGGTCAAAAAACGGCCGCATTATCCAACATTCTGACTCGTACGTCATTCTTTGCCACTTGAGGCTTACGCGCGCGCTTAGAACTTGCACTGACTTCTATCACACTAGGGAAACACTATCGTGGGATGTCCGTACTAAGCACGTTACTTGGGATAGTATCCCGACGCTCGAGCACGTCAGAGGCCTGGCCGTGTACGGCCCCGGCGCCAGCCTCTTCACCCTGGGAGCCAACAACACCGTACAGCAATTCGACCTTAACACCCCTTCCATCATAGTTGCTAATGTACAGCACCCGGCCAACTTGTTGCCACCATCACCGCCTGTCTCGATAGAGGAACAGCAGGGACAGAAAACATCAACAACCATCGTTACTGACTCGGATGCCACGTCTGGTTCAATTGAGCTCGGCATTTCGGAGAGTGACGAAGATCACTTGTCTCCCTTTGACCGTATAGTTAGCCGGAAGGACACAGGCACGGCCAAGGCGCTCGACCCTTACGATGCCGATACCGCAAGCGCGGCTTCTAGCCGCAGCGGACTGTCTTCCATCTCGCGATCCTCCGGAGGATCTCGGACGCCCGGACGGTACCCGTCGTCGGCCGTCTCTCGAGGCATGACTGAAAACACCTACATCTCTGCCGGATCGTCTCTCAGATCTTCTGCTGCACCTTACCAAGAACGAGACATGTATTCCATGAGCGGAACGTCAATGATGAGCGGCACCTCCATGTCCTCATACCGCTCTCGCCGTTCTAGGCCATCCCGTCTACGAAATGAGGTCTTGCCGAGCCCTGTCGACAGCAAGGTTCAGGATCTCTTCAAGTACACCAGGAGCCGGCTCAGCGACATTCCTTACAAGCACCCGATCGGGAGTGACCATAGCCGACTCACGAATGACGATCTCCGCAAGCAGATGCTTAGCACCATCTTTGGATGGAACAAGGAGATTGACGACTTGGTCAGAGAGGAATTGAGCCGACACAATGCGGCTTCACCGGCGCGTATTCTTCTGATGAGATGGCTGGGCGATATTGACGCAGATGTCATGGCAGCGAGCTCAGCCTCAATGACTTCTTCTGACTGGATGTTGCTAGCCCTCAGTGGTATTGGAGGCCAAGCTTCGCAGCACAAGCTGGGGCGCGCCTACGTTCAAAGACTCCTGGAGCACGGTGATCTTCACGCCGCTGTTACCATTCTAATTGGCATGGGTGATCACAATGATGCCATTGAGATTTACGTGTCCCACAAGAAGTACATGGAGGCGCTTATCCTGACTTGTCTCTTCTATCCCGCCGTCTGGGAACGACAGGCAGCTATCATCAAGAAATGGGGCGAATGGGCTGTTATGCACGGGCAACAGCAGCTTGCCGTGAGATGGTATGTTTTCTCTATCAAGTGAACATAATGGTACGATGCGCTAACAGATTTCCAGTTTCGCCTGCACTGGTGCCGAGTCCGATGAGCCATGGACATCACCTTCTGCTGCTCAAGTGACCTTCCAGAGCATCAACCAGAACGTTCATGAGAATATCCCGGAGGTCCTGTCACCTCCTCTCTCGCCTCCCGGCATTAACCGTGGACCCCAAAGAAGCATCGCCAAGACGTCCGCTCTGAAGCTGATCACGTCTTTTGGCGAGCAGCAAGGGAAGTCAAAGTTCTTCTCTCAAGGAGACGGCGGACAGACTCCTATCGCCGCGGGCCCAACACCCATCGCCGATTCTGCAGTCTCCCCTGGTGGATATGATGTCACCACTGCCTTCATCCGCCCACCAAACCGCAGCCAATTCAACACCCCGAACTCGGCGAGATCCGGAGCATCTGCCTTCAGTCGGAAGCGCCTCCCTTCCATCGGTGAGATTCCGGGAGACTTGTCGCGTGAACAGCTTCAGGTTGACGTTGAGGAATCTCGACGTGCTATGCAACTGCGCATGTCTTCTGCCGAGCAGGAAAATCTCGCTGCTGGCCTGTCTCTGCAGAGGGCTGCCACAGCAAGCCCGATGATGATGCGCGACCAGTACAAAAAGATCACCACACGGACAAGAGAAGCACCTCCCCCATCTCCTGATGCTAGAATGATTATCAAGATGGAAGGCAGCATGGCCCAGCGCAACGGTTCCCGAGACCGCAAGCCAAAGGGACTTCATCTTGAGCTTGCAGGTTTGAACAACATGGCCAATGAGATCACCTCTCCCGAGCAGTCAGTGGCATCTTCCACCCGTTTCCACTGGCCTTCCCGACGTAGGGGACCCGGCTCCGTCACAGGCTCTGTTACGTCTCAATCCACCACCGGCAAAAGCATCCGCAGCAACACTACGGGTGGACGACAGGACTACATCCACAGCCTCGACACTGCCCAGCGCTTGCAACAACGCAAGCAGCGAAGCCGACATGCCAGTCGAGAGGGCAAGCGCGATGGCTCCCGTGGCCGCGACCGTGACCACAGCCGCACTCGCAAGACATCTTCTCGCGAAGCTTCCGCTGAGCG